TATATATATATATATATATATATATATATATATATATATATATATACCCTGATATCCAAACGTGCCAAAAGCAAATTTCGGCAAAGCATGCTGCAAGTTTTATCAACAGAATATCAACAAAACTGCAGCACGATTTGCTATATCAAGTAATGTCGGCAAAATGTGTGCAATATTGCGACACGATCTGTTAGCAAGCGTGATAGCAAACTGCTGACAAAAACCGGACAAGCTATCATTAGTAGTATGATGACATATTGATAGCAGAAACTGAGCAAATCGTGCCGAGCAATGTGTGATAACAAATTTGCAGCAAATAGCGAATAAGATGTGCCGAGCAACGCGTGACGGCAAAAATCGAACAAGACGTGCCGAGCAACATATGACGGCAAACTGACGGCAAAAGCCGAGCAAGCCGTGCCAAATCTCATGCAACATATGAGGGCCGTACGAAACACGTTTGTTAGTGAAGTTAAAGTGGAGTAACATATAGGACGACAGACTTGAAGAACCAAAGATCTCGAGTTCAAATCCAATGTGAGCAAGGAATTTTTCCAAGACAATATACACTGAGATACTTACGTTCTACATGATTAGGAAGTGTTCAATAATAAAAGCCACCGATGTCATCTCTAAAAGACACAAATAGCATTTCATAGAACTAAAAATTTTAACTAGGACAGTCTATTTACTGATGATATATGCCTAATGCAGAAAATAAACTACATCACTAGTTATATTTTTTTTGTCTAACTATTAGGTAACTTATGTTATATCCTCATTAGGAAAAGTGATATTGCCTAGCAACTAGTTTGGTTTTTTACCATAATTATGTTGTTTCTTTTATCTTATTATTAGTTAATATATTGTATATATTCGCAAAAACGTTACATTATTGGTTCATCACTGTCTAGTTACACTAACTAATAACTATGTGTATGTGTCTATTGGATACAACTTTATTATATAATGACTAGATTCTCATAAGGTGCAAATTCTACTCGGGTAATTTTGGCCTGTTCATAGCCGGCACATCTTGCTCGATTTTTGCCGTAAATTTGCCATCACACCTTGCTCGGCACGTCTTGCTCGCTGTTTGCTGCAATTTTGTCGTCACACGTTGCTCGACACGTCTTGTTCGGTTTTTGCAGCACTCTGCCCTCAAGTAATTTTGGCATGCTTTGCCGACATAATGCCAGCATAATGGTAGTATACATGCTGCAAATTTGCTGCAATCCTATGATTGATTTTGCCAGCAATTTGTCGGCATATTGCTGACATTTTGCTATCAGGGTATATATATATCAGATATATAATATATTCCAACAAAATTTTACCTGTATAACAACATGCTTTCCGTCACATGCTCCAATATAATTGTTGAAGTGGCAAATATTCTCAAAATCTTCTGCGATATTTTGCCAGTTACTTGTACTTGTTTATAGAAAAACTTCATCTTTAAAAGAATTCCAAATAGCACTGTAAGTTTCTGCAATAATTTTTGAAGCAGTATTGTGTGCAATGCGAAAAGCATATGATATAAACATCATGCTGTTTCCTGAAGCCAGATATCGCAAAATCATAACAACGAATACGCGCTAGTATCGGTATACGGATAACGTACTCTTTTATGATATGTGGTTCAACAATGCTTAACAGTTTGTTAAATGTTTCGAATGGCATTCGGAAATAATTAAAATATTTTACTTTATCCACGAACTCCAGTTTACAAACAAGATTATCGCTTGCTCCTTGCATTAGTCTCCTTTCTTCTGAAAATATTAGTCGTACTCAAAAAAGACGTTTAGATTTTTCTTTGTCACGTTTTTTGATATATAATAAATATAATATAAGCATTCTCTTGCGAATAATTTGCTGTTTTAATATAGAATATCGTCTATTTTTAATTAACAGCCACAGTCGACAAAAATCACATAATATTCTCTATAATTAATCATAACAGATCTCACTTTATTATACTACATAATGTATCACCGCAATTCCGCTGATATACTTTTTCTTCTGTCCCATGAAGCGTTAAATGCGTCAGCGGAATTATGTTTTAGCCAATCGTAAAATAGTTGTATATTTTCGTAAAAAGTATTTGACTGAGAAACTAATCTTACTCTTTACTAATTTATCATATAATATATTATTTGTATAAAATATTATTAAAATTATTAAAAACGTAAGAAATAACATTAAAAAGTCTACTTTTTGTATTATTCCGCGTGATCCGCTTCCGCGTATTCCGCTCCATGGGACACAAGGAAAATAGAAAAAGCGCCGGAAGAAAAGCGGAACGGCTGTGATTGGTCGTCCTAACTCCGCACGTTCCGTTCCGCTGAAAATTTCCGCTCCGTGGGACGGCGCCCTTAGGCTTCTCTTTGGTAATGAATATCCGAAGCGCATGTGTAATATAAAGTTGACTAAACAATATCGTGACAGTACCACGCAATGGAATATTTGTTAAATGGCCTATCTTTTATATTAATTTGGATTTTTACAGTTTCATCAGTAATTTCAATATTTTATATTATTTATAACGTATTTTTTTAGAATCGCTAGGATTTCATAAATATTTATCGCTATGTGTACTTTTGAGATACAACATACATACATATATATATATATATATATATATATATATATATATATATATATATATATACATAATACATATATACATACATATATATATATATACATATATATATATATAGAGAGAGAGAGAGAGCGAGCAACTCATATATATTAATATTAGTTAATAAAAATGGATGTTACAATATAGTATTTTTTAATATTATTTTTCTATAAAATTTATATTCGCAAATATATCATCTATCTTATTAGATACATATTTTCAGGTTGTTGCACATTATTGTGTATGGGGATTATGTGAATCTTGGGAGTATTGCTGTGATGAGAATCTATGCTGTACCTATGATGATTACAACGTATGGATTGCAGTGTAAATATATTAAATTTATTTTGAAAAACATACTTATCTGAACTAATTTAAATTAAAATCTATTGAAATGTTAACAGGATAATCATAGCTGGAGTTGTAATTGGCATGATATTTGCTGGTATATGTCTTTACTATAATTTTCAACGTATCTATGTTTACTTGCGTCAAAGATGCTACAGTATTAATTCTGTTCCAATACCTTCAGAGTTTGAGTCTGATGTGAGATCAATAAAGATGTCGTATAAATAAAAAATTTGAATACTTTATTAGATCATGTAAATATCTTATTTTATGATAAATATCTTATTTTTAGGTAAAAATCTGATCAATATACTCATCATAATTTATTTCTATTATTAGGGAATAAGTATATCATACTATGATGTTAAGACTAGTTTTATTTATTTTATATCCTTTTAATCATTACATTTATTATATATATGCATTACTAATAATTTTTATATAACTTGTCAAACAAAAAGTATAAATATATTATCGTACATCATCCAAACTATGTCTCCAGTCAAGTGTCTTGTTGCTAATTTTAAAAATATTCCAATCTTCGTTAATTTTTGGGGCACGAAGTTTAACATGCATAGATGTGCAGATATCTTTTGTATACTCAGGTACAAAAAAGTCAGAAAGTTTAGGTATGATATCCTTTTGCCGTGGTTCTGGATCCTTGGTTCGCATTATAGTAGACATCTGTTTATCATCTATGCTCAAGTCCACTAAATTTTTAAAAATTGTTTCATCCAATGGAAAATCCAATGCAGTAGAAATCTATCACAAAAAATTTTAAATATTAATCTCTTATGATTTAATTTATGATTTTGGCTATTCTTATATGTATTACCAGCAGTGAAAATTTATATTTTATATATTACATATATTATAAAGATACTATTAAGATTTCATTTTGGCAGTGAATGTCATAATACAACTATACATGGCATAATTAAATATTAGATTGCTGTCATGTTAACTAATATTTATTATACATTATTACATAGCCTAAAACAAGTTTAGTAACATCTATATAGATTTCACATAGTTTGTCTACATTTACATCAGCATAAAATCAATTTTATAATTTTTTTATTGTAACCACTAGTGTTAAATAAATTATATAATCAAAAATTTAATATAAAAAAATTATAATAAAAATTATTCAGTTTTATGCTGTTTATGTAAATATAGACTATAGATGATATTAAATTGATTTTTGATCGACATGTGTATATATAATCGTTCGATTCACAATCAAGACTAAGAGTATAACTTGATATATAATGATATATAATATTATGATGCTAAGGTATAAAAAGTAACTATTCTTATATATACGATGTACTATATTATATATATATATATATATGTATGTATGTATATGTGTGTGTATATATTTCAAGATTTTACCTTTTCATTTAAAAGATCCTTCTGTATAGATGGCAAATGATTAATATCTTTTACAATTTTTTGTTGTTTAATTTTCTTAAGTTTATTAAAAGTACACATGACAGAATTATATTCTGGTTGTGCTAGTTTTTCCACAGCATTCGACATAGTATAACATTTTTTATTCGTCATTATATCATTTTGCTGTTTATGACAAATTCCTGAATCTACAGAAGTTTTGATTGTGGAATTTGTTGTACTATGCAATACAATTTTTTTAACTGAAGAAACTTTATTTTTCATTATTCCAGTCTTGATATATCTGTAACATGGCATAACATTGGGTAAAGTAGATTTTGTATTAAGGATTCTTGTTTTGGTTGTATGATTTTTAGTTTTTTCTATAATATTTGGTGCAGATCTTGATTTTATCATTTCTGTTTTCTTAGAATTTGTATTATCTATTTCTTGTATATCATTGCTACTTGTAGAAAGTTTTAATTTCTTGCATACAACTGGTTGTTTATAGTGTGAATGTTTTGTTCTTATTGTAACACTATTTTTCTTAGATGTAATTTTCGTTGATACTATATCCTTATTTTCTTTATCCTTTTGTTGTAAAATTTTTCGACAATATTTTAAAGTATCAGGTTGCATATATATTTTCTTATCCTGTTGTAATAAATAGTCATTTTCTTTCTTGTCTTGACTACTATTTGCATTGCATAAAATTCTTGAAATCTTAGTTTCTGACACGTTATTGTTAGATAGAGATGTATCTTGAGTATTTCTAGATGTTATATCAGAGCAAGTTGCGATTTTTATATCACAATTTTTTATAGATATGTCTTTATCATGAACACTAGCAGATCCCACAGAATCTACTATTCTAATTGGTCTTTTAAAAGTTATAATACTCTTGATTTTAGGACCATTTGTTTGTAGATTTGTATCAGCCTTACAAAATTCCTTAATTAATTCATCATTTCGCTTTTTGTCAGAAAATTGAGAAAATCTAACTTTTGGTCTTAAGATGAGTTTAGTATTCCCCGACATTGCCAATACATTTAAATGAATACTTGGTACAATTATCACACTAATAACATAAGTAATTTAAGGGTCTACATGAGTTAGACAAATCCTGAGACTTTTAAATACAGACTGGCCATATGGGCAAATATTGCCCACAAAATGGCGGCCGCAAATACGTGAGCTCTTAAAGCTCGTATCAGACTATAGCTTGGTTTACATTGTGCACTTGATACGCGTACTAAATAGTAACTTTCTATTAGATAATCTTAATATCGACAATGCATATCAATATAGCGGCGCATTCTATCAAAACAATCTGTTTTATTGAGTATTATAGCAGCTTAATATACTGTTGTTTATATATATTGTCATATATGCGTCGCCATTGGCTGCGTTCAGCAGAGAAAGCTACTTTGCAACTGTTGTAAAATTCATGAATCTGATTGGTATATGCTCTTGGATTTAACCAAAATTAAGAGCATACTCCAATTAGATTCACGAATTTTACAACAGTCGCAAAGCAGTTTCTCTGCTCAACGCAGCCATTAATATGCATTGTCGATATTGGATGTTTACGTTAAATCGAGTACGAGTTAGTTCCACTAGGGTTGAAAAATGTAATAGGCACAACCATCTAGTATCTTCATGGTTCAAGACAACTCAGTTGTGGGCCAGCACACGAATATTGCCATAGTTCCTTACGCCACCTTACGTGACAACCTTACGTTACATGAGACGTAAGCTGACGTACGGCAACGCACGAAAATTTTACGTTACATTACGTTATGAAGGAACATAGAAGTTCTGTGACAAAGGTAATTAAATCAGATTATTGAACAATAAATAAAGAAACAATAATAATTTATCTTTACAGACATAATTAGAAATCTCTATATTGAGCACATATTAATTTTATTAAACTGTTAAATGTATCTGTACAAAATTATAAACATTGCGTTATAACCTCTTCTAAAACTGATGAAGACATGTTTGTCAAATATGCTAGGATGAATGTTTAACATTTTAACAAGTTATCAACCATGCTAAGACCTTATTTGGTAAAAAAAAAACTAAGA